TTGGAACATCAGAGCTCATTTTCATGGGCTCCTTCCTTTTGTTCTTCTCCTCCTTCAGATGTCTCAAAGCTGGTTTAACAATGGACCAAGTGATCGTAGAGGCCTTTTTAGCTAGTCTCTCCAACCGTCTGTACATTTCACAGGAGAATGAAAAGTGAGCAGTATCTCTAGTGGGAAAAATAGGAAATCTGAATCTAGAATACATTTGAATGAGGGTGAATCGGTTTTAAAAATATAACTTTTCCTCCTCCCAGGGACGCTCATCTAATTCCAGATCACACCATTCGAGCGCTGGGTCATATTGCTGTCGCTCTGAGAGACACTCCTAAAGTTATGGAGCACATCTTACAAATCCTTCAGCAAAAGTTCTGCCAGCCTCCATCACAGCTGGATGTGCTCATTATAGACCAGTTGGGCTGCATGGTTATCACAGGAAATGTAAGTCCAAACCTATGGAGAAATGACACCTCTGATTTTTTTTTTTTCTTCCATGAATTTAATTCATTTGGGATTAGATGGAATATAAAAGTTTGTGATATAAGGGTGAAAATGAATGAATAGATTTAACTTTTTTTTTTTGGGTGAAACAAAGATTACATGTTGTCACAAGATGGACTGAAGCGTTGCTATTACTGTGCATCTGGTGGTTGTTGCCTTTTTATTCAGCACCCTGCATTTGGAACAACAGCCAGGATTTCAGCTGATTTACCAGTTGGTTTTAATACGGTGTTATGTGACAGCCCATCAGCCTTGATTGCTAGGCAGGCTACTTTTAAGAGTTTAAAATAGATTTGCAGTTCATTGATTTGCATGCTATTCCCTGTCTTGTTTTGTTGTAGCAATACATCTACCAGGAGGTTTGGAATCTGTTTCAGCAGATCAGCGTGAAGGCCAGTTCTGTGGTTTACTCTGCTACCAAAGACTACAGAGATCATGGTTACAGGTCAGCTTCTGTTCTTTAAAATTCAGGCTTTATCATATCTTATTATATTATATTATATTATATTATATTATATTATATTATATCATATTTTAGTGTCAGATTTGTTGAACAACGTGCTGGAAACCAAAACGAACAGGCCCATTTCTTTAAAATTATCCGGATGAAAATTAATCACTGCAGAAACCAACAAAATACATTAAAAATACTTTAAAAAGAATGGGCTTTTAATTGTTCCCTATATCGCTTTAAAGCTTAAACTCTCTTTTGCCTTCATTGTCCTCTAAACCTTAAGAGTTCATTTGGTACAGATGTGGAAGAAAAAAACATTAGAAAAAATTTAAAATATGGAAATTTCAAAGTGACTTGTTTGGGAACATTGACCTTTTCTTTATATGCAATTGGGTACCAACAATTTTTTCACATAGGTGTGTTGACTTCATAACAATGTTTTATTCCAAACAAGGTTAAATGCTTTGAAATGAAACATTGCAATAGGATTGCAAAGTTTCACTAGATCTGAATGGGTAAAAAAAAGAGGCAATCCAGTTTGGAGTAAAACTTCAAATGTTTTGTTCTTTTCTCACTCCTACTCAAATGGTTTTTCCCTTCTGTTAATAAGATTGACAGTTTTGAAATTTTGTAATTTACGTCCTGTGTAATGTATGTTTATTTCCACCCGATCATAGTCTCAGTCCACATCATCTCTCCACCTTTTTTTCCCTTCAAGGCATTGCTCTCTGGCTGTGATCAATGCTTTGGCAAACATTGCAGCCAACCTCCAGGGGGAGCAGCTGGTGGACGAGCTGCTGGTCAACCTTCTAGAACTTTTTGTCCAGCTGGGACTGGAAGGCAAAAGAGCGAGTGAGAGGGCCTCTGACAAGGGAACAGCCCTGAAGGTGTGTGGATCACCTCATTATCACAGCTAGTAACATTGAAAATTTGTTGTAAAAAAAAAAATAGAAAAAAACTTTTGGGATGAATAACGTATTTTTGTATTGAATTAAACAAGCAGCTAAACACAAACTGTAAATCCTAACAGCCATGTGTTTCATTTTTTTTTATATGGATACATGTTTTGTCTCTATACAGGCATCAAGCAGTGCTGGAAACCTTGGAGTTCTTATTCCAGTTATTGCCGTGGTGAGTGTGTTCATGTTTTCTATGAAAGCATATGTTAAAAGCAAGAACACAGTTTTACCTTAACGAGCTTCATTGCCATTTGAGATCTTGCACCGTAATGTGCAATACTTATTAATGAACAGAAATGAGGTCATTTTATGATTATTTTCATAGTTGGTAAAGGGGGATTACTTTGCCTCATAAAATGATCTCTATCACAAATTAAAATAATCAAAGAGTTTTTAGTACTTTACCACATGATTATTTAGGTTCTAGATTAACCCAGATTGGATTTGAATATTGTTGAAATCAAGTAATTTAACTGTCACTAATGGGAAACTTATTGCACAGCCAATAGCCACACATTAAACATCCAACAAGATTGTCTACTAAAATCACTGACATACAGAGAACAGTAAGATCTTGCTACTAATTATTTCTACAAAATCCAAGGTACCAATGCTAAAAAGCTTAAAGGGGATGTTTATAGCTCTTATGAGTCCTTGGAAAGGGTCCTATGGTCTAAATATTTGGCTACCTACCCATGGTACACAACATAAAAGATCTGGAAGCAAACAAACGAGGTGCTTAAAATTGGCTTTTCCGCTTTACTTGCAGCCGTTCTCTTTGAATCTAGAAGAACACGGTTCTCATTCAGTTGACTGGATTTCTTGCATCTTGGGTTTGGAGAGACAGAAGAAAGTAAAAGTTTTTCCTAAAACTCTACATGTTATCAGAAGGAAAATCAAACAAAACAATGAATCACAACCAGTTCCAAGAGCGGGATGAAGCCTGGCTCCAACGTAGTATTTCTTAACCCTTTATAGGGCACGTTACCATTTCTGATATGCATAACCCCTTACAAATGGAGTCCCCCCCCCCCCGTCCCTCAGTGATGTCTAGAAGCACAAGATCTGTATCCAGCCATTCAGCAAAGATTCTGCTACATGGATGTACATGTTATGATGGCATTGAATGATATATTACCTACTGTAAATTAAGTTGGAAAAATAAGTCAAGTGAAGAAAAAAAGGTAAAAAGCTAATTGAAAAGTTAAAATTTAAAGTTAAAAATTTAATAAGCCTAGTTAACAATTATATTTAGGTTTATAAACTAAAAAAATTAAGTGCCAGTATCAGCATTAATGACTCTAAGTTTATGTTGTACCAAAAAATGTGTTTCTTTCCCTCTCAGAGTGTTTTTCATGAATTTCTTACAGAAGCACTTTTGTTATTATTCTTAATATATTCAGCCAAGTTGGCGTTTCTTGTTATTACATCGACATTCATTTTTGCCATCAAAATATCCATATTTTTTAAACGTTACAAAGATATTAAGGTCTTGTCCTACACTATTGGCTTGAAACTTTGATTGAAGTATTTCACTGAGTGCCCTATAAAGGGTTAAAGGGTTTGCTGGTTCTATTTTACTTGGTCTGAGTCAGAACTCTGCGTTCTCTTGGCAGCAAGAGCATCTTGTGGAAAGATAGGTCTAAGTACATGTGCAGTAAATGTAAATGTGCAGCTTTCCTCTGTTGCTGTGGCAAAAAAGACCTGTTGACATACCTTTTGAGCAAATCTCACTCAGTGGTGAAGGGTAGTTGTCTTGCAATCTAAAAATCGTAGGTTTGATTCCCTTTTCCTCCTGTCACATGTAAATGTATCCCCTACATTTTAGAATGGTTGTTGCTATAAGTGTAAAGCAATACATCAGTCCTCTCTGTATATATGGATTATTTTATTAATTTTTATTTTTTTAAACTAGAAAAAAGCAAACAAACAGATAAAAACACCAACAATGTTTTCATTGATCCAAAAAGCGATCTCATTACTGAAGCCCTTTTCAAATCTAAGCTCTCCAAGACCGGTTAAGTTGAGAGTTTTAGAAAAAAAATCAGTATGAAGAATCTGGGTTAATTATGGAATATTTTATCATTTTCTAAGTTTCCAAATGAGAAAACCAAATTATATATAATTTCACAATGATATGCATGCTTTTAATGCATTTAATTTAACTTTTAGAGCCTCTGGTATTAAAACCATTCATATTTTGGGGATTATGTTACACAGACAGTGTTTGTGAAATGTTATCTTGACTACGTACATTTTAAAAGCGTATGGAATGACATTTTGGTTGTAATGTCATTTCTGATGTGATTATTGTGTTTATATCAGTGCTGGGCAACAATTCCAATTTGAAATTGCGACAAACCTCATAACATTATTGTAATTTATCTTGAATAATCACACTCCTTTGCCCATTACATAATAATTAATTTACAAGTGTATTTCGAATTTTAGCGTACCGTTTTATGAACTAAAGTCCAATAACATAAAAATATGGAAATGCAAAGAAGTGACTTTTTTTTACTGCGGTGTAAGCTGTTTTTACCATAATTGTCTATATCTTAGCGTGACCCATATTTTGATTTTTAGAAAAAGAAGGATACTGTACTTTCCCTGCAGACAATGGCTCATCCTACTGTCCACTCTAAAGGCTGGGGTTTCTCTCTATTTTTGTGCAAAATCATGCCCATCCCAGATCCACCTCATACCCACCCTGTGACCCAGGGGTTTGTTTTCTGTTTGTATGCATAATTAAACAGCGCCAGCTAACTTAAAAAAATATAAATAAAACAAATGCATTAGGACTCTTTAAAATTACTATTTCCATTCAAGAATGGCTGTAAATGTGGTATGGCTTCAACATGATCAGCACTAGTTTTTTTTGTTTTTTTTTAAAAACTTGTATCTAATATTTCATTAGGTTAACCTAAGCCGTTAGCACAGCAAGTTGTTAATCCTAATAAAGAAACATTTTATTGTCAGATTCTAAACTTAGATTTTAAAAAACTTATTTGAACAAATTCTCAGAAGTTCTGTTGTAGTTTTTTGTATTTTATTATTTCAACAACTGTGATGTTTATACATTTCGTTAAACATTATTTTGGTATTAGAGCATCAGCAGTAACACCACGTTGTCTCCATGCATCTCCACCTGCCTTGCTGTTGGTTATAAAACATTAAGAGACAAATAACAAGCATTCAAACAGACTTAGTACTCTAAACAATTTTAAGAAGTTTAAATGTTAATTTTCTTGTCTAAAAACACTCCTGAGAAGCTCAAATTAGAGATGTGTCAGATGCTCTTAAACCTAAGCCTGAATTTATAACCGGATTATCAGTTGTGAATTCTTTAGCGTATCAGTTTTGTGAAGGATTTACCACCCGGCCAATGAACACAAGACAGTCAGTACGGTGCTCGTAGATCAGGAAGAGAAACGGGTGATCCACAGTGAAGCGAATCTGAGAGGAGAGCGGCATGAACCCAACTTGAGTCAAGGCAGCAGCTTCCGTTCCCTCTTCGTTCACAGTGATGGTTCCCTGGTGCTTCAGCTGCGATAGCATATTAAAAAAACACCATCAGAATAAGATAAAATGATCAGGATTAGTGTTTGGATCACTCTATTACTCACCCAGTTCAAGGCAACCTTTTCTGAAGTCATTCTACTGAAATCTCCACTCTCCTTGAAAATGTCAGTGAGTCCCATCTTCTTCAGACTTCCAATCAGGTCGTAGTTTTGCTCCAGTTTAAAGCGAGGTAACAACACCTCTCGAGTCCTAAGAGGGAAAGAATACTATCCTCACAATAAAGTCCAACAAAACCTGAACTATTCTTTCTTTATTTCTAAAAAAAAACAGTTTACGTGAATATTTTATTCATTTGCTGATATGGAAATTAAGAGATTTCCCCTCTTGGTGATGCACTTATAGACAAATGTTTTTTTAATCTAATAAAATAGATTCCCTGTTTTTCCAGGTCTCAGCTAAACATGCTGAGTCTTAACTCGCTGCTGACTGGTTAAATATCAGTGAACTTCTGTTGGAGGAATTTATTGATTGTTCCTGGGAATTTCTTTTGAGCACGTTAATTTCATCCCTGCAGTTGCAGATGGAAACACAGCTATTTCTCTCTGTCCTGTTGTATATCAGTAAAATCATCCGATCAGTTAAAATATTTTCCTGCGACTGACCTGTTTGTCATGTTTTTGAGCCACTTGTTGACAACAGTGGGGGAAATCTGCTGCTCCAGTGTCCTCATGCCAGTGATCTTCCTTGGCAAGGCAATGAGCATGCTGATGTTTCCGGTGTATGGAAGCTGAAGATAAGAAAGTTGTGCTGCTTAGTTTTGTTTGTTAAACATGTTCTTATTAAATATGAATTTTAGAGCTGGATAAATTATTGAATGAAAATTGTCCTTGCAATAAAAGTAGCTTAGTTATTAAGGCTTTAGTTTTTCATCATATAGGCATCTGTCAACACACTGTTTAAAATGCCTTTAACAGAAAAGAAAAAGCAACACTATATTTCTCCCTTTCAAGCCTCCCTTCACTGTCTTCTAGTCTATTCAATTTAAGATTTATAAAGTTATTTTTTTAACACTCCCTGATTAAGAATTTGGGGGAAAAAAATTTCTTGATGGCCTAAACTTTAGGACAAGTACTTTGGCCAATTTCAGCTGCACAGACTGTCAGTCATTTTAAAATTCCTATTCAAGGCCTATTAGCTTTAACCAGTTTATAGCTAGCTGATCAAACACATTTACTATAATTCTATTGTTATTGATTGCAGCTACGTATTATTTCCCTTTCACTGTTTTTTTTAAGATACACGGGTCCTATGATGTTTTTTAAAGTCTTAGATTATTCCTTATGGAATGTGTAATTTACTTTTAATGCCTTTTTTTTATCAGGCTTGGTTAGGTATGGCTTTTTTTTTTACTTCTCCAAAACTCCAAAGTTTTTTTTCTAAAGGACAAAAACCTTCGATAAATGGAGTGTTTGCTTTATGTTTGATTTTCTACATCGCACCTTGAGTTTTATATATATGTATTTTGTGTTTTAACTTACTATTAGCAATACAATGCAATATTGCAATTCCAAAGAGCTGCTTGGTAGGCTGTAACATTCCTGCCACCATGCATAATTCAAACTTTTCCTTCCTCAATATATTTGCTTATGCCATTTATTTCAATCCCTAATCTGAATATTGACCACAATGCTTAGGAAGATGGTGGGTACATTATGACATGACAGAACAAATGTTGAGGAAAATGTGGGTTAATCATTGTTTTAATATCAAAACTAGCTATCATACATAAAAAAATTCTCTATTAAGATGCAGCTCTAATCTGTGTAAAGCCACCCACCTGCAAGATGTCACACTCTAGTTCATGGTCGGCAGCAGCCAGGTAGTTCCCCTTGTTCGCCATCATTGGCACACGCACGGTTGTTTTCTCATTGATTCTAAAGTTTCGGTAGTAAGTCATTTCTTTTGGGAATTTCTGCTCCCATGTACCTGTTTGTACAAAGACCAAAGACTCACATTGCCATTTATGTGTCTATATTACCTGTTAAATTGAATATCTCTCACCTTTGAAATACAGGTAGTTAAGTAGCATCAGAACCATGTTTGGATCCACACTTTTTAGCGGCTCCTTGATTAACCCTTTGGTCAGTTTTTCAATGCGACTGTTAGCCTTATTCAGGAACGCTGGATTTGTGAAGTCTACTGACTGCGGCTCAGCAAAATAGTAGGCCTTCACTTCAGTGCAGAAAGTTTCTTTCAGTGATACGTTTTTTTTAAGGTAGACATCATTAACGGAGCGAAGCGTGTAGCCAAAGTTCCTCCTGAACAGCCTGTGTGTCAACTTCCTGAACAGCTTATGAACTGTGGTGTTGTCATAGTGGTGGCTGGCATTAACAAACTCAGCGAATCCTAATGCTTTGTAGATCTGATGGTGAGTTTCAGATCCAGCGCCTAATGACATCATCCCCATTGCGATGGAGATTCCAGCAGGTGCCAGCAGGATGTTGTCTGTCTGGTTCACATCGTTACGCAGACTTCTGTAAAGATTAAAGCCGAAGCGGGCATTCACCGTATTAAGACGCTGAAGGCGAGATCGACCATGGAAGAGTCGTAGGAGTCTGGCTTTGCGGATCTTTGGGTCGGAGGACTCTGCAAAGATGTCGATGTCTGGAGCTGGTGTGGCTATCTCGTCGACCTCATCCCCCTCACTGAAAAAGATTTCATTAAATATATATATATATTTTTTTTTTATTTATATAATATCGTATATATTTTTTTAGAATAAATTTTACTGGGAGTTTTGTTCTATTGGTTTTCACACACTTCTTACATTTTATTTTCAATATGAAACCCAACATAAGCAAAACTCCTGAAACTTACATATAATCATCACTTCCTGCGGCTAGGATCTTATCAAAGTCAATATAATCTTCATCCTCAAAGCCGTCAAACACAAGGTCATTGGTGACTGTGTTTTCTTTGTGGAACTCCAAAGGAATGGCATCAACATCCACTGCAGCACCTGGCTGTAGGCCTCTAGGGTTTGGGTTAGGGTCATTAAAGTGGGAATCGAGCTCTTTGATACCAGCCAGGGATGGACTGGCCAGCATACACATCACACAAATGACAGCAAACAACCACATCCTGAAGGCAGAGCAAATAAAAATCTTTGGTACAAAACCTTGAAATTATCTGAAACGTCAAATTTTTCCTAAGTAACATAAATTGAAGATACTCGGACGCAAAGACAAAAGATCTTCGTGTAAATAACTAGTCTGTAAAGTGTCTTACCTTTACTGTGTCTGGTGGGAAGTGCTCTGTTGATTCTGTTTGTAGGACGAAGACTTCAAAACTGAACTTTGATGTGTGCTGCTCTTGAACAAATAGACCAGATCAAACAGTCCAAAAAGTCTGCTGACTGACTAAAACCCTTAACTCTTCACAGTTCATCTCCTTAGTTGAAAAATTTTATTCTAATTTATCATTAATTTAATCATTGGTTGCCATAAAGTACTTTCTAACAAATATGCCTGATTTTCAGTCCTTTATTTGACTTGTTCCTTGAATGGAACAAAGAAAATTGCAGTTTACATTTAAAAGAGTCAATATTTTTATTATAGAGTATTAATTATCATATTTTTGTTGCCATTTTTATTTTTCCCCCCAAACAGTTAACCAGGAGACTTCCAGCAATCAAAGAAGCCAAACCTCGTCTCCAGAAGCTGTTCAGGGACTTTTGGTTGTACTCTGTGGTCATGGGTTTTGCCGTTGAAGGATCAGGTGAGCAGGAGAAAAACGTTTAAGTATTCATCAGCGTCACAGACTTACAGCACCTCTAAAAAACATCAAATACAATAAATTGCTGCACATAAGTTCATGTTTTCACTTGCGTTAGTGGCCTTGAGTTGCCATATACACATTAAAATGTCAATCACAAGTAGCTGTAATTACACATTTAAACAAAATTAGGAGAAGTCTATATACAAATTATAAGTGTAGTTTTAGTAACTTAAGATATAATTTCTCAAATATAAGAAATTAATTCCTTAAAAGTCAGTACAGTAATAGGAAAAGCTAACAAAAGAAATCATAGGACAGAAATGTCTTTTATCACAATCCTAAAACAGACAACTCTAAGGAGTGACCTTAGAGATGCATAAATAAAGGATAACAAGTAGAAAATGTTTTAAGAATTGCAATTAAACTAATTCAATGCTTAAATTACTAAAAATGCAGCCTGTTAGGCATTACAGTTTATACACTTAAATTAGGGATAGGAACAGGAGCTTGTTGAGAAGGATTCCCTAGGGGGGAAAAAATATCTTTCTAAGTATTTTCTTTGGAGAGGTGACAATCTTGGACAATCTTTGCTCATAATGTTTTACACAAACTGACTAGATCACATTAGCAAAAGCACATTTCCATATATGTAAAGCACAATGGAGGGGGTAATTTGCCTACACAACACCTGGCTACTTTGGTGGCCCACCGCAGTGGATCTCAGCCCAAACTGAGTTACCGACAGGTCTAAACAGCAGTTTATCTACAAAGAAAATGGACAAAAATAACAGGATGAAGGTTTGAATTTATGTGCTAGTTTAATAGAGACCTTTGATAGAGCTATGGTGGAAAGAGTGTTAGCAATATAAAAAAAAAAAAAATAAACTAAAGCTATGTATAAAAAAAGTGTTGGCCAAAACTCTTCCAAAAGGATGCGAGAGACTGAGGTCCATCAGAAGACTGTAGCTCTGCTAAGGGGGTTATGAAAACCACAGTATCAAAGGGTGTACTGGTTTCTTCAATTGATCTATGAGCAGTCATTGATAGGCGTGTATATATATATATGTATATATGAACATAGTTAGGCAACATGTTTAATTTTTATGTTTTGTGTTTTTAGGGTTATGGCCAGAGGAGTGGTACGAGGGCGTATGTGAAATTGCCACCAAATCTCCTCTCCTCACCTTTCCAAGCGGAGAGCCTCTTCGTTCTGAGCTGCAGTACAACTCGGCTCTGAAAAATGACACAGTGACACCGGTACGGTGTTAGACATCTACATACTCTAAATATGACCAAACTTCAGCACCAACTTGTTATATATTTCATTTTTGCCTTCTAGGCTGAGTTGAGTGAACTGCGGTCAACAATCAGCAATCTGCTCGACCCTTCTCCTGAAGGATCTGCTCTCATTAACAAGCTAGACTTTGCTATGTCCACCTACCTGCTGTCTGTCTACCGATTAGAATACATGAGGTCAGCTCACCTACCTCTACATCTTACATGTCTCTTGTTTAGTTTCAACAAGTTCCTCAATATAATATAATTGGTGCAGTTTTTAATAATCTTCTTCAACTTTATACTTTGTCAGGATGCTGCGATCAAATGATGCCGACAGGTTTCAGGTCATGTTTCGGTACTTTGAAGACAAAGCCATCCAAAAAGATAAATCTGGTAAGAGCTTAAACCACATTGGTTTACATAGTACTTTTAATTTGTCATTAACTTCTTTATTGTCAATGAAATCCCTTTAGGAATGATGCAGTGCATCATTTGTGTCGGTGACAAGGTGTTTGATGTCTTCCTCCAGATGATGGCTGAAAAGGTAGATAGCATGACTTCTAATCCGAAAAAAACTTCATTCTTTAATTTGGCTAAACATTTTTGCATTTTTCTAATTTTTTAGCCGAAAACTAAAGAACACGAAGAGGAGCTGGAACGACATGCTCAGTTCTTATTGGTCAACTTTAACCACACTCACAAACGAATCCGCAGGGTGGCTGACAAATACCTCTCTGGTTTGGCTGAAACGTGAGTCCAGCTACTCACTTGTCTTATATACAGTCTTACTTGAAGTTCACATACCCCCAATTAGAAAAATAATAAATTCAAATTAGTAATAATAATAATAAAAAAAAAAACTGAAATTAAGTTTGATAAATCATAATTTTGTAAAATAAAATATTGATTTTGAGTTTGTTTTTTTATATTCTAAAAAACAAAAAAACCCTGACAAATGAAAGAACCTTGCTCATGAACAGTGAACCAACATACCTGTATAAAATTTCAACCTGGAGAGACTCACGCAGAGAAGCTGCAGTTAGAAAAGTATTATTCAGTTTATTTATAAAGGTAACATTCAGATTCTTCAAAATGTTTACATCTAAGGAAAACCAGCTGATTGTGAGTTAATTGACTCTCTGCAATCCCTCACACTGACCATGCCTGTAGCGACAGTGGAGAGGAAAATTCCCTTTAAACAGGAAGAAACTTCCACCAAAACCAGGCTCAGTGTGAGTGGCCATTTGCAGTGGCCAACTGGGGTTCAAGGAGACAGAAGCACTTTAAGACTAAAACCAAATAAGTTCTTTGGCAGTCGGGAGACAACGTAGATGCTTTGAATCAACGTACAGTTGGACGAGTAACCTAGAAAAGGATTATTATAGCCTTCCCTCCAGGCCTGGACACTAGTGGTGAAATTAGCCAGATGGTGAATGGGACTGAAAACAAATCTGAGAATGAGGGAGGAGATGGGGTGGAGGTCGGTTAAAGTTTATTTGCAAGAGAGAAGTTAGGCCAGGAGCTAAATGAAGGGGATCTTTACAGATGATCAGGTTTTAAGGAAGGATGTATATATAATATAGTGTCATGATTTCCATTTTTTTTTGTCTTTAAAGGAAGGGTAGGTAAACTTTAAAGCACAACTGTAGGCTCAGTCTTTAAAAAAAGTATTCTCTGCTAATTATTGTGTCCCTCAACAGATTCCCCCATCTTCTGTGGAGTGGTCGAGTGCTGAAGACCATGTTGGATATTTTGCAAACACTCTCTCTGTCTTTAAGCGCTGTACGTATAAGCTGTGAACCAATGAGAAAATCCCTAATTGATTATATTAGTTTAAAGCAGCTCTCAACTCATCATGTTTCTGAACCCACCATTATCACATCTTATAAGGCTCAAACCCAAATTGAGGACATTTCTGAACTTCTTAAAATTATTGAATGGAAAGAATGTGCATTATTAACCCTACATGGTAAAGTATAACATCAGTTTATGCTAACACAAAAAATACATTTAAAATGATCTGAATAAGTTCATTGATGCATTATATTTAAAACCCAAAACATTCCTGAGCCTGTTTATAGACTTAAAAGTGGTGTTACATGAACACAGTAAAGGAGTCCAGTAACTGAGAGGAGTTTCTAAAATAAACTAAATCTATAGCTTTAGTTTTATACCATTGTAATGAATATATATGTACCAAATAATTACCATTTTAGTTTCTAATTCAAACATTAGTCTAGTCCTAAATAGAAATCAATTACAGACATTTTTAATAGATCATCATCTGGTATTCTTAAGCAAAATCCATAAAGAATATGCTACTAAAAAAAGAAAGTGAATTTCTCTTATAGCCTGCACCACACTGCTTTGCTCAATCATCTTAACAAACTTTGCAGGTCCTCTTCTATTGTGTGATTTACAGGGTATTATTACCACCTGCTTTAAGCTCTATTACACATTATCAGTGTCTTTATCATTTATTAAGGACATACACAAGGATCAACCGTACTATGATATTCCAGACACACCGTACAGGATCACTGTTCCAGACACATATGAAGCTCGAGAGGTGAGTTTGAATTGTAATTCTAAATGTGAACAATAGAGGGCAGCAGAATATTGTTTTTAAGCATCTGCCTTTCACTGTGAGTCATATATAGGATTACAGAATCTATGTAACTCTATGCTAAAAAGAATAAAGGCACTCCTGAAAAAACAGTAGTGGCCAAACAAGGTGTTGACACTTTGGGAACAATTTGAACAATTTCTCTGAGGGTTTTACTTTACTCTACTCTACAATTGTGAGATCCTGAGGATTGAATGTTACTGATCAGCTTTGCATGATATATTACCCTGTATTGTGCCTATTTGTTACAATTAGATTAAATGTCTTTCAGTGTTCTTGATGAATAAGTGTTACATATACATTTTATTGCAGAGCATAGTTAAGGACTTTGCAGCACGTTGTGGTGAGATTTTAAAAGAAGCAATGAAATGGGCCCCATCAGTCACAAAATCCCACCTACAGGTTTGTTCTTCTGTGCACAACTTATGAATCTTAATGCAGGAGATGGAAACATATTTC